ATTGATAAAAATAATTGTATTTGTTGCTCTAATCTCATAATTATAAATAATTTTTCCTCAAAAAGTAATTAGAATAAAAAAAGCCTTGCTACATGAAAAGTTCTACAATAATTGTAAAAAGCAGGTATTAGTAAGAATAATTTATTTTTATTAGAATGTTACCGTTATAATTAAATACTATAATTGTAATTAAAAAAAATATTATTTTAGAAATTTTATTATTTAAAAATTTATTATCTTTCCATGCATGCTCTCTCTCCTCTTTATCCTCGTGATTGGATAATAGATATGATATATATTATATTTTAATATATTGTAATAAATCAATTGTAAAATAATGTAATGTAATTATCGTTATAGTAAAATAAATTAAATTTATGGAGAAATATTTATTCTTATTAGAATATTATATTAATAATTTTTTGTTGACTGCCTAAAGTCTAAGTATTTTCTATACACATATATTTCTATAATAATTATAAAAATTAGATATTGGTAAAAATAATTTATTTTTTTTGTTCAAATTTTATAATTGTATTATAATTATAACTAATTTTTGTACCCAAAAAGTAATTGAAAAAATTAAAAAAAAGAAACGCAAAACCTTGTTACATGAAAGCAAGAAAAATAGATAATATTGACCCCATAAATGTTTTATTGAAAATATTTTTCAATGATAAATATGTTTCAGTGATTAATACTAAATATCACGTACAACACACGTGCATATTACTAGTTATACTAAAACGAAATAAAAGGAAGAGTAATTTACGTATTGATACAAAAAAATAAGAAAATATGATATGGGCCAATTTTAGACAAAAAATACACAAAAGATCGGTCAACCCATTTTTTAATTATTTTTTTAAAAAAAATTACCTCAAGATGGCCACTTTTAAAAAAAATTAATTGTTTTACCTTTTTTTTTTGTTGTCATTAGTAGGGCAACGCACTAATGTGAGGGGCAGTGCCCAGTCTAAAAGGCAGTCCGAGGATGCTAATGTTGTATGAAGATGCCAACCTCAAATCACCCTAGAGAGCACCACAGAGAGAAGTTTGAGAATGGGCAGCTTGGTCCACCTTTGAATTCTTAACAAAGTCGGTCCGAGGATTCCAATGTCAAACCGCCTTGAAGAGCACCATAGAAGATAGTCCGACGATGCTAACATCGGACCTACTGGGCATTACCCGAAATATTAGCTTTAACTCTACTATAAAAAAATAAAATAAAATAAAAAAACTCAAAAAAAAATAAAATAAAATGCCCGTCCAATGTTAGTATCCTTTGACCGAGGGGCAATTTAAAAAAAAAATAAAAAAACCTCAAATTGACCAACATGTAATTTTTACACAAAATAGACTTATTTCGTTTTTTAGTTTTTTTTTCTTTTTGGTATTGGTTCATAATTCGCTCTAAAAGGACTAAAAGGAGAGAGGATAAAGGAAAAATAAACATAAACAGAAGAAGTTTATGTAAGTTGCAACCATAGAATGTAGAATTAAAGATGTACCTCAAAACTCCATCATAAAAGGCTGTTTGGATGTTGGAAGACCATCTAATTGATCATCTCGATATCAAGATGTATGAATATAAAGGGGAAATAGATTTTGAATCCACAAAATAGTGTATCTTGCAACACATTATATGGACCGTCCATTATCAAGATTTTCATGTGTTTATAGATTGATTTGATTTGAACCATTTATAGAGTTTAAATTGTATAATTAGAAATGAAAATAGATTCTTGAACCATCCAAAGAATTTTTGAAATAAAAATTACATTTATAATAAAATTTAGAGGTGCACCACAATTGTATTGTTTAAGGTTGCAACCTTATACAAAACCACACCCATCATAAAAAGCCAAGGCAAGTGAACAAATCCTTGAGTGGAGAAAAATTTATAAAATTAGCAATAATTATTACAAATTCATATAAGCAAAATATTGGACACCAAAAAATTTATCAAGGGCGAGGTCCGAGTTGCATTCCTTCTTCTCCACGGAAAAAAGGATGCAGGAATTGAAGGAAAATTGGGAAGAAGGAATAAGTTAAGAAGGAAGCATCTCATAAATGACTGAACGCGGTCCGCGATCAACACTTGGGGAGATCGGACGGTGGAGGAGGAAGCTTCTGGTTGGGGAGCGTGCCGTCCGATACCAGCCAAGCCATCTTTAGGCCCCAGCTTGTGTGCACTTCCAAGTGACAATGCATGAGCCACACACCTATCACAAAATCCATCAACTCACCAATCAACACAACATAAACTCCTCTCTCTCTTCCTCTTTCATACACAAACTTAGGGGGCAATGGGCTAAGGTCCAGGCCGGGTAAGTCCTAGACCAAGGCTAGCATTTTTTCCGGCCAAATTCTCTTTTTCTTTATTATTATTATTTTTCCTTAATTGTGTTTAGCACGTCCGAATAGGGCTAGGGCTAGGGCCGGCTGGGCCTACAGGGTCTAGGATCAGGCTAATGCCAAAGTTGGCCCCTCTGAAAGCCCAACCCATTGCCAACTCTACACAAACCGCACAAACAATCTCTCTCTCTCTCATGCACAATCTATATAAACAATATCTATCATGCGCAAACCAGTGCTATCAGATCTGAAGCTCGGATTTTAGGCCAAGATCGAAGCAAAGAGAAGCTCCGGTGCATTAGCTTCGACCTGCTTTAGCCCGCTTTGGTATGATTGGGCCTCTCTTGGCTGAAGCATAGAAATTTTTTTTTTTTATTATATATATTTTTTTATTATATAAATATTTTATTTATATTAAATTTTTTTAAAGAAATTAAAATTTTCATCCGATTAAACATCCAATTACTTCATTTTTCACACCAAACACGAAAAAGGTTATGGAAAGAATGTGACAAGTCTCCTTCTCTAACGCACACAGCACACACAGAGAATCACATAGAGGTGAGTTAGGAAACAAAGCCGCACAAACAGTCATAGCAAGTAGTTCAATAGTACCAGGATTATCAGCAAGGAAACGCAGAGCCAACCAACCACCACTCGGCACCCCTGCGGTGTTCCTCTCCATAGGATCCACCAAATTAAACTTTGCAGGGTCTTTTGAGGGATCATAGTTCCCAAAGCCTTGTCCCACAATAAAGAAGTTGAAGCCATGAAGATGCAGAGGATGGCTCTCAGCTCCAAGGATTCCAGTATCCTGCAACACGAGTTCTACGCTCGTGTTGAAGCGCAGCACTTCCACCTTTGTTCCACTCATCACAAGCGTGTTATTAGGCGGAGCGCCCGTGTAATTAAAAGGAATCGGTGGGTTCTCTGGAAAATCTGTAGTGTAAACTCCGGCAGACTGCCCGAAGAAGTGAGCCTGGAGCATGGCAGTTGTGGGCATTGAGAATGAAACATTATTGATGGAGGCCGTGAACATGGAGCCATTGGGCCCCTGACAGGTCTGGTTATTGGGGCACGGGTTCGTCCCAAGCCCTACAGTAAACAAGAATTTCCGGTCTACTGTCTGTGGTACATTTGCAGGAAACTGCTTCGAAGCCAGACTGCGAAACCTTCGACTAAAATTAGCAGCAAAGTTGGTATCATTTAGGGCAGGAAGAGTAGGGAGGAGGAGGGGGAGCTTAGTTATTGAGGGGGAAGAGTTGCCGAGAGAGGGACTGTGGTATTCGAGGATTCCGGTAGTGGTGGAGTTGTCGAAGCTTCCTTGACCTGTAACATAGGGACGGGCGGCCATGACGAATGTGGTTTTCGGGGGATTGGGCTTAGCTGTGAGGAGGACGTTGGTGGTTTGGCCTGGGGTTATGAGGACGATGTCGGTGGTGAAGGGCTTGACATAGATGGCGTCAGCCTCAACGACAGTGAGGGAGTGGTTGGCAATGGAGAAGAAGAGCTCGTCGTTGAGGGCAGCGCTGATGAGGCGCAGCAGGTAGGTTTTGCCACGCTCCACTTTGAGCTTGAATGTGTCTGTTGAGCAGGAATAGCAATCAGTATTTAGAACATACTCGGGCCGAGTAGGTGCCAAATTGGCTAGGGCCAAAAGTGTCGAGAAATAAAAAACCAAGTGATTTTACATACAAGCCCTAAATTGTTTTTTAAAATACGAAATGCTTTCTTTATAAGTAGAAATTACAAAGTAGATCGATCAACCTGCTTTTTTTTTGTTTTTTTTTCAAAATTACCTTTCGGTCTGATAATAAAATCTTCGGTCTAAATTTGACTTTTTTATATATATATATATAGTTTTTTCTTTAGTAGGGCAATACCCCAAGCTTTAGGGTGGTGCCCTACTGATGAAAATTAAAAACAAAAATTTAAATTTGGTCTGAAGATGTCATCGGACCAAGGGGCAATTTTGAAAAAAAAGGGGTTGATCGATTTTTTTTGTAATTTCCACTAATAATTAGGGGATTTTGTATTTTAGGAAAAAAATTAGGATCCTTATGTAAATCACTCTAAAAAATTAATTAAAAACATCAAAAAAAAAAAAAGGAAGATATCTTTAAGGTAAAATTAAACAAACCATGAGGTTAAAAAAATGCCAAAAATGGATTTTGAAAAAATAAATTTGTGACAAGGGTATTTTAGAAATAATCCAAAAAACGAAAAATGTAAAAATATGTATTCCAAGACACTTTCCAATCGTTACTGATATGATAAAATACTAATAATAAAATAAATAAAAACATATTACTAATAAATTTCATTTTTTGAACTTTATAATTTATTTTGATTTTTTTTAAGATCTCCGAGTTAGACACCCAACTCAAGAATATTCGGGCTCGCCAGGACGGCAAGCCGGAGTTACTTGGGTGAGTCCGAGCTGGCTGGCCCAAGGAATCTAAGATTAGAGAGAGAGAAGAGAGCGAGAGAGAGATTGTTACCTTTAGCTGAGCAATTGTAAAGGGGACCAGGATGGCCATTGATAGTATAAGAATCAGATACATTTGGGCCACCACCCGTTTGCAAGGCCTGGGCAAGAACCGCCTCAGGGTCCACATTAAACCATTCCCCAAAGATAATTGGGATCTCCTCATGGGGCTCAGGAAATGGATATGGGACGCCTCTCTTAGGCAAAATAACAATGGGTCCATAGATAGTGGACCTAAGCCAAGTTGCATGGGCATGCCAAAGTAAGGTGCCTCTTTGCCCTGTAATGGTGAAATTATAAACATAGGTTTGGCCAGTTTGAATGGGGCACTGTGTCACGTATGCAGGCCCATCTGCCCATCCGCTTTGAAGTTGCCTTACGCCATGCCTGTAATAGTATATGGAACAACGTTTGGTACATTTTGCTTACTCCTAGGGGCATGCATGTTATAAGCAACATAAATTAGTCAGATCCGACCGGCCACCAAAACACGATGAGTTTGGTCCTGACAAAATTGGTTTGATTACTGATCTAATTTGTTTGCGTTGACTTTAAAATATAAAGCAAAATAGGTATAATGTTTTAAAAATATGAAATATATAATAAAAGAAATTGATGAACTTTGTTTAGTCGGTTGAACCAGTTTAAACCAACTAGTCCAACAAGCCAAAACTAGTTAAATATTAGTTAAAATATAGTTTTTAACCACACCTAATTTTTACTTTGGATCACCGGCTAAGAGACTAATGAGCAATCGGACAGCCTGGTCTAGTCCGTTAATTGGGTTGAGGGAGTAGACGAGAAAACTTGTTCTAAAGTGTTTCCTTAGGAGACAAATTTTGTTTTGTAATAAACTGATTTTGGGTTTTCTAAGGAAAATATTGAAAATTCTCAAGAAAAAAATAAAACAAAGGGGAAAAAATAAGGGCAAGCTTTCTATGATTCCTCTACTATACAAAATTTATATATTTCCCCATATTCATCTGTTCATTCTGAATAGACGGGTGAGATGGTCTCAATCACAATGTCACATCTCTACACTATTTTATTTTAAATTTTTTCTACAAATTATTTTGACACCAAATTGTAGGCGTTTACTCGTCTCTTAAACTCGCACTTGTAAAAAATATAAAAACAATATTTTCAATAAAATAAAATAACAAAAATACCTCTGAAAATTTTAAAGGGTATTTCGATCATTTGTAATTTTAATATTTTTTTAGGTGTACCTCATTGAGAAGATGACACATACCAAATTCATATTCATTCAATTTGTAAAAAAAAAAAAAAAACTAGAAATAAAATACTCTGAGACGTCGGATCTAGATTAAATGGTCAATGGCTCACTTTAGCTAAATTGGACGAGTGGATGGGGGAAGGGGGGGAGTATATATCTTCTATGTTGTAGAGGAAGTATAGAAACCTTTCCCAAAAAATAAACTCAATTTTTTTTTAGAATTTTTTCTTTTCTTTCAGCTTATATAACTCATATTTGTAATATCTTCCTAATTTATTTGTCTAAAAACCTTCCATATGTATTTATATATATATTTATATAGATATATATTTCAAAGTTAGACGAGATGCAGTACATTTTATGTCATTTCAAGAAAGCAAAAGAGAAATAGGGCACCCATGGTTTACCAAGCAAAATATGGTAAGCCATTTTCTTTATTTCAGGGGTTTTTCGCTCACCAGTGAATGGTCACATTGTTGGGCACATGGTTCACCACCTTGATCACAACTTGGTCACCCTCTCGAGCCACGATCTTAGGGCCAGGCACCATCCCATTCACCGTCACCACTTGCCTAGTATGGCACAATCGAGTCATATTTTTCAGCCTAACCTGCACCCACGAAATAGCCCCACACCTTAGTCCGAATTATCGAGCCCAGGTTATGGTGAAACTAGGCCCATGTACTTAGCAACAAAAGCTAGGGAAATAAGGTAGATTACACTGAACAGGTAGTGCCTAGTGCTTGCAAGAGTATGCCTAGGTCCCAGCCATAAGGCACACAGGGTCCAGAGGAGGATCGCCATGAAAGTTGGAGACGGAGAAGAAGATGCCATCGTCTTTTCCTTCGGTTTGTTGAGTGAGTTGTGGCCATGATAGAAACATGCTAGCGTTTATATAGGGGAATAAATTTGTTTGAAAATATATGGTGGGGCATGCTGTTGAGTAGGTGTAGGAAAGGCACAAGGATTAAGGTCTAGAGGTAGTATATGATTCAAGTGTTGGGTCAAGCTGACCTTTAGAGTGCTTCCAAAGTGAAAAACACACTCTTTTCTGGACCCTTGTTGTCTTTTATCTATATTTATATTAGTTTAGCTTCTAAGTGTATTCTTAATTGATGTTTGTTTCACAAATTAATCAAGAGGAAGAGTACCATACACCATGGTCTATGATATATGGTGAGCCATGTGAGCATTAAGCATCTGTTCTTGATGATGAGCGGTGAAGATTATGTCGCGCATTTTTTATGCTAGTCATCAGGAATTAGAATTAATATCCATCTTCCATCATAGAGAATGGATGGCAGAAAAATTTATGTTCCATGTACCATTTCCTCGGGTGTATGGTTAGGTATTTCTTCTTTTACATAAATACTTAGCTGATACGGCTGGATTATGGTATACATCTTTAACCCAACCAAAAACTTGAATTCTAGAAAATTTACTCAAAACCCCAAAAAATTGATGGTTGGTACAGTGAAAAATACACATAGTGTTGGTTTGGTACGGTCGGAACTTCAGTACTGAGGAAGAGTCCTGATTTCATTTTTCTTCTTTGAATGTTCAAATGATATTACTTGTTGACAAGATTCTCTACTCCCGCGCGAGAAAGCTATCTATTTACTCCCTCAAGGAAAAAACATGTTAGAGATGCAATTTAGCTCTCAAATTTTTGGGATATAATATCTGTAACCTATAGACTAATCTCAGTAAAAATAAATTTCTGAAATACACCATCTATAGACTAAAAAAAAACTAATGCATCTAGATTGAATGGAGGCCATCTAATTTTTGAGGGGCTAAAACAAAGAGTCATAGAACTCAAAAATTCAAATTTACCTTTTGAAAATAATCTTTTGGTAATTCTTATGTAGTTCCCAAAATTCTAGATCAAAAAAATATTCTTGAATAGGTGTTTTGGTCGAGGGAGTAGATACACAATATACTCCTGCGTGAACATAGTATACACGCTTTTAATCGTTTTTCAACATAGAAACTGTTTAATTAGTGCTTCATTTTAGCTTTTTGGGTCCAAATTTAGGGGAGTTTTGAGGGTTATTTGTGGGGTAAATTTGTAGTTTAGAAGAAAACTAACTTAGGAAAATACCATTCTTTGGTGCAAGAGGGAACAATGGTTACAAATCATAGAATTGGCAGATGGGGTTGGTGTCTCTTTCAAGCATATTTATTGGGAGGCAAATGAGCATCTTTCGTTTCTTTGGTTAAAAAATGAGCATCTTTGGATTCTTTGGTGGTCTCAGATGATGCAAATTTTTTGTTGTAATTTTGTACGTTCTCCCTTCATAGAAATAAAATTTCGATTATTGTCACAAAAAAAAAAACTAACTTAGGAAAATACAAGATTATATTTCGGTCGTGATCATTAAAGAAGGTAGGAAAATATTGGCCTAACACTTTCAATAAAAGAGTAATGTTTTCAACGACGAGATGTATTGTGTAAGAATAATAGCCATCTTCCCAAGGGATCTCCTACCGCGGTATCCTTGGAAACTAAGGAGGTTTCTTTCACATGAAAATGATCTCTCTCTCTCTCTCTCTCTTCTAGAACCAGGGGCGACACATAAACCGAATTAGGCATCCATCTCTCTCTCTCTCCTAAAGCGAGGGGCGACTCATAAACCGAATTAAGTATAAAAATATGCTTGTTAGTGTGAAATCCCTATTACCCAGAAAAAGAATCTAACTAGAAATCCAGGAACAACGAAACAAAATGGAAAACAATAAGCTAATGTAAGGGCTTAAGGATGAGGACATTAAACTTTCTCTTAACATATTCCAAGCTCGAGTGGAATAGGAGGATTACTTTATATAGACAACCAACATAAAATTTTGGTAAAGTTTTTTCTGACTCCTGATGATAGAAGTACTTGCTTGCCTTCTCTATTTCATTTTCTTATATTCGATTAATTTTTTTGAAGTAACATTCCGAATTACTTCCAAAAAAAAAATTTGTAGTGACATTAATAACTCTTTGCCGCCATTGATGCGTCTTATATTCGATTAAGTTTTTTGAAGTAACATTGCTGAATTACTTCCAAAAAAAAAATTTGTAGTATTATAACTCTCTGCCATTCTGGGGAGTTTCTTTAAAGTCATACGAAAGATAGAAAGAATACGAGGTTTTACCTATTATGGTTACCCCATGGGAGAGTGACATATGTCCTGATTTGTGCTCTCTCTCTCTCTCTCTCTCACAAAGCCTATGTATGCATGTTTTTTTAGTCAAGCATCGAAGGTTGCATATTGGAATTTTTCCCATTAAAAAATCATCACTAAAATAGTCAAAACTCTTAAAAACGTTTAGAGCGGTAATATAAACCAATTTAATAACTGGTTATTTTATAATATTCATATGACCAAGTTACCTCCCCAAATGTTTTTGTTTAAAAAGCTCAAATTACCTCTATTTTGGATTTGGAACTCTAAATAAGTGGTAGCAACACAAGCCAGATGACATAAATACTTTGTTTTTATCAACATTATGAATCCGAAGCATTTCTTCCTAATTAAAATATCTTGCTCTAGGTTCCTAAATTTGAGCAAGGGAGATTTTTACACCATTCGCTTCAAGTGAAAGAGGCAAGAACCAAATTATGAATGAACCCTCCATAAGGCTTAGGAATTTAGAACTTACTGTAGTTTCACTAGATGTGCTTGTTTCTCATTCTGAGCCCTTGATATGAAGGGGTCATACAGTTATTTTGCTCAAATTAAATGACCTAAGAAAAATAATGGTTATTGCCCCGCTTGTCTAGGATTAAAAACTTGGAACTTGATTTTTGTTAATTGCAATCCTTGAACTGGGTTCCTGACCTTGACATGGACATATAATATCATCATTTCCTAGAATTAAATTGCCCAAGAAAAATGATAGTTATGTTGGGTTTTTTTAAAAGATGTAGTTGCTGCTACAATGAAATAAATTCTCCTTTTAAAAGCTTTTTGGATAAACTTTAAGCAAATACGAGGAAGAACTCAAAATGAACAAGGTAAAAGATGAAAAAAAGAGAAAAAGAAAAAGGGAATAAAAGTTGAGTGAGGATCCATGGACCAAAGAGCCGTAGCAGCCCTCGTACGTTAACACCTTCTTTCACAATGTAATGCAAGTAATTTTTACATTGGACTTCTTACTTGCTTTCTTCTCTTTTTCTCTTTTCTCTTCTTGACTGCACTTGATGTCTTTATAGAACTACTCACACACAGTTTATAGAGTTACATAAACTTCCTATACACCATTATATGTTATTACACAAACTACCTACACACCATTACAGCATTACACGTAGTTACCCAAACTACTGATACAAACTAATCCCACTGAACTATTTTGCATAAATTTTCAACACCCTCCCTTAATGCAAAATCCTTTCTTATAGTTCTTCTTCCTCAGAAACACCTTTTCTATGCCTTCACTTGGCACTTTTACTCGGACATGTTTTCACTTGGCATCCTCACCGTCTTTTCCGAGCATGAAACACAAGGAGGTCCTATTCTTTCTATTTTTTCGGTGCATTACTTCTTTTATTATTATTGTTCTCCAATCATTCATGACACGCCCAGATTGAACCAAGCTCTGATATCAATTGTTGAGTTTTTGAAACTACATATTTGCTGCTACAATGTAATGACAATCCCTTTTTAAAAGTTTTTATGATAAACTTCAAGCAAGAGAAATTTAACATAAACAAGATAAAGAGAAAAAAAATTAAGGTTAAGATAGGATGCTTAGTCCCGTAGCAGTCCTCCTAAATACTGTCAACACCTTTTTTCACAATGTCTACTTTGACATAAATGCAAGTATTTTTCACAATGAAATACTGCCTACTTGCTTTCTTATCTCTCATTTTTTTTTTTTCTTTTTTTTTTTTTCCACCTCTCTTGCCTATAGTTGTTGTCTTTATATAATATTACAAGTAGTTCACACAAACTGCTCACACACAATTTCATGTACCACAAACTATCCATCTACAATTACACACTATCCATCTACTATTATATGTAACGTAAACAACCGACACACTATTACACCATTACATGCGATTAGACCAACTACCACACAACCTAATCCCACTTAACTATTTTACACCAATTTCCAACAAGCTCTACAACAACTTATTTCATATAAGGAACCTAGAACTCCTTTTTCTTCACTTAAAACACCTATTACAAGAATTTAAGCTTGAACATAGAGATATAACATCAATTGTAGGGTTCTTCTGAACCTTTAGCTTGCAGAATCAGGAATCCCAGATACCGGGATCCCACCCAAGATTATGTACATGATTGGCTAAATGTGAAGTTGAGGAATATAATTATAAATAGAGTGCAAGAAATAAAACAAACATAAAAAGCAGACCACAACAACACACGATTTACGTGGTTCACCCCATAGGGCTACATCCATGGCCTCGACAAGTAGAATTCCACTATCACAATGAAGATTATAAGTTTGGGTTACAAGAAATAATGCCTCCCTTTAAACTTCGGTAAAAAACCATCACTAATCGTCTCTTCTAAACCCGCTCTCCCTACTGAACAACATTGTCAATCAACATCTTTCTTACCGTTGTACTGTTATCGAAAAGAGCACCTTGAGAGCAACCAAGAGACTTTCGCTCTCTAGAAGTAGAAACTTAATTAACTCAAAATCTCATGGGATTACCACCTCTCTATTAGAGGCCATGTCTCTCTTGGAGACCCATCTCCAACTTGGAAATCCCTTCCCATAACCATTAAAGGAGTGACCCTCAAAAGAATGGGTATTATATCTTCCTTAACCATCTTTTATAGAGATCATTTGGGGTTCTTTCTTCCATCTTTTGCAGAGAT